CAAACAAAAAATCCAGAAAAACACATGTCAAAAAAGTTATAAATTGATTTGCATGTCAATGAGTGAAATAATATTTGATCCAGTATCAATCAGCAAGATTTCTGGCTCCCAGTTGTCTTTTATACAGGTAACAAACTGAGATTAGGAGCACTCTCTTAAAGGGAGTGCTCCTAATCTCAGCTCGTTACTTGTATAAAAGACACCTGTCCACAGAAGCAATCAATCAATCAGATTCCAAACTCTCCACCATGGGCAAGACCAAAGAGCTGTCCAGGGATGTCAGGGACAAGATTGTAGGCCTACACAAGGCTGGAATGGGCTACAAGACCATCGCCAAGCAGCTTGGTAAGAAGGTGACAACAGTTGGTGCGATTATTCGCAAATGGAAGAAACACAAAATAACCATCAGTCTTCCTTGGTCTGGTACTTCTCACCTTGTGGAGTTTCAATGATCATCAGAACAGTGAGGAATCAGCCCAGAACTACACGGGAGGATCTTGTTAATGATCTCAAGGCAGCTGGGACCATAGTCACCTAGAAAACAATTGGTAACACACTACTCAGTAAAGGACTGAAAACCTGCAGCGCCTGCAAGATCTCCCTGCTCAAGGAAGCAAATGTACAGGCCCGTCTGAAGTTTGCCAATGAAAACTGGGTGAAAGTGTTGTGGTCAAATGAGACCAAAATCAAGCTCTTTGGCATCAACTCAACTTGCCATGTTTGGAGGAGGAGGAGGAATGCTGCCTATGACCCCAAGAACACCATGCCCGCCGTCAAACATGGAGGTGGAAACATTTGGTGTATTTTTCTGCTATGGGGACAGGACAACTGCACCGCATCAAAGGGACGATGGACGGGGCCATATACCATCAAGTCTTGGTGAGAACCTCCCTCTCTCAGACAGGGCATTGAAAATGGGTCGTGGATGGGTATTCCAGCATGGCAATGACCCAAAATACACAGCCAAGGTAACAAAGGAGTAGCTCAAGAAGAAGCACATTAAAGTTATTGAGTGGCCTAGCTTGTCTCCAGATCTTAATCCCATAGAAAATCTGTGGAGGGAGCTGAAGGTTCGAGTTACCAAACGTCAGCCTCGAAACCTTAATGACTTTGAGAGGACCTACAAAGAGGAGTGGGACAAAATCCCTCCTGAGATGTGTGCAAACCTTGTGGCCAACTACAGGAAACGTCTGACCTCTGTGATTGCCAACAAGGGTTTTGCCACCAAGTACTAAGTTGAAGGGGTCAAATACTTATTTCACTCATTGACATGCAAATCAATATATAACTTTTTTAACAAGCGTTATTCTGGATCTTTTTTTGTTATTCTGTCTCTTACTGTTAAAATACACCTACAATTAAAATTATAGACTGATCATTTCTTTGACAGTGGGCAAACGTTCAAAATCAGCAGCGGATCAAATACTTTTCCCCCTCGCTGTATATATTCACAAATCTATCTATCTATCTATCTATCTATCTATCTATCTGTCTGTCTGTCTGTCTGTCACTTTTTAGAGCTTACAGAACACTCAATATTTTTACCATACAATATACATTTCTCAGAGGCTGTAGTAATTATATAACACAAATAAACATGCACATCCCTTATGTGTTTTATGTGTTGTGTCCCCTTTCCATATTTCTCTTGTTTTATTAAGAAGGGAATTGACACAAATGCAAAGTTCACCAGCTGTGCTTTACTAGAATATGTAAAGCTCTTTGCAGCACAAATAGTGTGTTAGTATGAGAGCACATGTGCTGTTTATATTTTCAATCTACTATATGAGAATGAATAAGCAGCAAACTGTAAACAAACAGAAACAATATGATAAGCACACAAACATATTTCACCACTGTGATGTTTCAGGTACCAGGAGAGAGCAGGGTCCAGAGTTTAATCTTGGGAGGAGCACAGCCACATTATATTATGGTTGACAGAAAAACATGTGTTGTTTGTGCTTTTTGATAAAATCATGCACCCTACATATTATTGTGGTGATCCGTAATAATCTAACACAGCATATTATTGTGGAGGACTATATTATACCCATATGCACTGCACATTACTGCGGAGCTCTATATTGTACCCATATGCACTGCACATTACTGCGGAGCTCTATATTGTACCCATATGCACTGCACATTACTGCGAGCTCTATATTGTACCCATATGCACTGCACATTATTGCGGAGCTCTATATTGTACCCATATGCACTGCACATTACTGCGAGCTCTATATTGTACCCACATGCACTGCACATTACTGCGAGCTCTATATTGTACCCATATGCACTGCACATTACTGCGAGCTCTATATTGTACCCACATGCACTGCACATTACTGCGGAGCTCTATAATACACTAATTTATGCTAACTGCATATTACTGAAGAGCTCTATAATGTGCCCATATGCACTGCACATTACTGCGGAGCTTTATAATGCACTCATAGCCACTGCACATTACTGCAGAACTCTATAATGCACTCTCACACACTGCATATTTCACCACTATGTGGGGATATGTGTGTATCCCCATAACCCTAGCTAGTCACTTTTGTAGCATGGATTAGCAGGACTGAGGTAGGTGATATTCATATTCCTCTGCACAATATGTCAGTTCAGGCTACTAAACGAACGACATGCAAAGTAAGTGAAGAGAGTGTAAAATGATGTACAGTTATATCCCTACCTCTTATTTTTATTCACACCATCACTGGGAGCTTGAAGCAGCCATGACAGACTGGGCTGAGGAACGTGGATCTCCTCGGTTGTGTTTCGGCTATGCTACAAAGTGTATCAGGGCGAGAATACTCTGTGTTTATCTTCTCACCTATTGCCCAGGAAGGACTGCTTTGACCATTCTGTATCTGCATTTGTTTTAAGCCTTGCCACCTCTAAGGTCCACTACTATGTGCTTTTTATTGTGCTACCTAAGATTTGCGTGTTGTATACTGTATTATAGGTAGTAAATGATCTCCTGTAGATAGATGGGAAGACTGTGTACAGGATTGTGGCTCTGCAACCGAACAAGGAGGTAATGAATGACTGAACAAGGAGGTAATGAATGACATGTGCTATTCTTATATCTTGTATGAGAGATGCCTGCAATTCATATTGAGATTCAGTTTATATTGAGATTAAAATGGCGGATTATGAAGATACATATCATGAGTCAAAGGGACAGAGTGTAGGCAAATAAAAGAAGGTTAGTTATTAAAGTGGGGAAAAAGTTAAATTTATTTCAAAAATGTATTTTAAAAAACAGGCAGTCATCCAGTTTGGTGAGGTTTGTAATATGATTCAGGATGCAGGGAGAGAAACAATGTCATTACCATATGTTATATTGAAATCCAATGGAAGTTATTATATAAGGTACATTTTTATGTGAATACAAAACAGCACCCATCATAATACTATGGGATACCCTACCTGAATAAGAAATACTACGGAGGATCCGACTGAAGGAAATGGAATGCTGATAGAATGCAGGGTGTGTTCCAAGAAGGAACACTGTTACAAAGACCAAAGTTACAAAGGGTAAGAAGAGGAAGCAGGTGGTTTTAAAAGTGGCAGAAATGTCAAGAATATTTAATAGCGTGTAGCTGGGTTTAGCTGAAATTGTTTAATTAATGACAACCAATATTGCTTTTTCAGTAGAAAGCTCAGGAAAGAAGCCATATTTGACTTCTGCACAGCAGAAACATTTGTTTTGGCCAAATCAAAATGAATGAAAATGAAAATTTTTTTTTTAGTTTGGGCTGTCCAATCTTCATGTATGTATTGATTTGGCTTGTCTGAATATGGTGCATGCAAAAGATTTGGGGAAAGCATTGGGGAGTGGAGGGACAGAACAATGTACCTATTAGTGTATTGCAATGCAAAAACAACTACAAGATTGCCTAGCCTAATGGCTACCCAACATCAGCCATTCTAGCAACGTCAGTTCTGAGTTGTCAAAATGAGATTATTTATGTCTGTATAAATGTACGGATCAGTAATAGTAAGTGAGAGAACATTTATAGTTTCATGAGGATTGTTTTCCTTTTGTGGACTTCTGTTATTAAAAAAAAGTTCATCAGTAGCAGCAATAGTAAAAAAGAGGATGTTTAAAAATAAATAAAAAGAAAAAGTCAGTGGGCAGTTGATGATCCTCGTACTCCTTCCAACCTGACAAGAACAAAGAAGAATACATCCAGTCTGTAGTGTGAGTGACCATTATTCATTGAGTATAAATACATTGCCCTATCGGCCCATACCAGCTACATCTGTGGAGGTAGCAGGCACGGCAATACTATAATACTCAGCGAGGCAGGGAAAACCACTACAATGAAAGGCATTTGAAAATATTACAACTAGCACCATCTGCTACATTTTAGAATACTGTTTTCTTCAAAGAGTTCAAAAAACCTTCACCACTCAGTGCAGGTTCCGTTCACTTTTAAACTGCCACACACTGTATGTTACTGATTGTAACGGACCGTTAAGCACACAAGGGGTTAAAATCTGTTTAGGCAATATTGGCAATCACCAATCTCCTGAACAGGAAACACACAAATTCTCCAACTCCTGAACTGGGACCATACGAATGCTTTAAACAGCCGAAAAACCATACGAACAGTTTACACTCCTGGCAGTCGAACTGTAACAGCATACAATACAATTCCCCCCAAGAATGAGATGACACATCGTTTGGAAGGTCAAGCAGTGATCTGATTTACTGGGGCTACCTGCCTGGCTTTTATGCAGGTCTTCCACCTGGTGGACACTCCCCTACGGGACCAGATGGAAAACTGGGATCCATAGTGGACATTGACCATTCACAAGCTTACACATTTCAATACTCCCATAATGCATTATAATCCCTCCTCTCTGTCCTAGAGATAATTGGGAAGTAATCCAATTATGTCCAAGGACAAAGGCAAAACTCCATTAGCCACATGTTAGTAAAAAGACATAAAATTACACAGTGTTACAATTCCTACATAAAACATATACATTCAACATATCCCCAGATAGCTTAGATCTGAGCGCACATTATTACCGAATGGCGCTCAGATCACATACATAAAATTCAATCGCCATGGAACCAAAGTCTTTCACATAGTCTTTTGTTACATAATTGGGCTCAATGGCATAGCTATCTGGGGTAACACTGCTCACATAGGGAAAGTACCGAATGGACAGACTGATGGAATAAGCTTGCAGTATGCAAAGCACAAGCAGTGGCACTGAAGCACACTGCAAATCACTATACACAAAAAATGAAATCACAAATAAGTAAAACAATTCTAAATCAGTGAATCAAAGTTGATGTTAGTCATACTTGCAGTAGATAGACAAAAGGGACATTTTATTTTTTACTAGCCTGAGCCTTTACACATGGTTAAGTAATGCATTGCTAACGGAAAGGGAAATGAATGTGGTGGTGATGGTAGTGATGATAGTTATGGTGGACCTTGAAAACTGCTGCTTATAGTAGTGGGACTTCTGAAGGTGGTGGCAGCGTCAGCAGAGGTGGCAAAAGGTCTCATGGCTTAGAAATTTCCTGGTGGTCCGGCACACTTTCGGGCCGGTGCGCGGCACTCAGTGTGCACCAGCCCACGGATTGCATGGCAGTAACCGGCAGGAGGAGATGCGCTCCCATACTGCTGGTCACAGAATGTAGCATGGCTGAGCAGGCAGACCATGGGTAGAGGAGCTTCTGTTCTCCTACCTGGTCTGACAGGAAGTGCTCACAGAGAGCACATGGCTGCTTCCTGTCAAACCGGGTAGGGGAACAGAAACTCCTCTACCGCGGTCTGCATGCTCGGCCACGTTACAGCAAGGTACAGGGAGGGGGAATGGGGGAGACTATAATGGGACACATAGGGCATTGGGGGGCTACAATGGGACACCTGGATGGGGCTATAATTGGACACATGGGAGCTGGGGGGCTATAGGGACACATGGGGACTATAATGGGACACTGGGGGCTGTGGAGGGGGCTATATTGGGAAACAGGGGCTGTGGAGGGGCTGTAATGGGACACACGGGGCTATAATGGGACAAATGGGGGTTGGGGGGCTTTAGGGACACATGGGGGTTATAATGGGACACATGGGGGCTGGGGAGGGGGCTTTAATGGGACACATGGGGTTAGGAGGGCTATAATGGGACACATGGGGGCTATAGGGACACATGGGGAATGGGGAGGGGGCTTTAGGGACACATGAAGGGCTGGGAAGGGGTACAGGGACACATGGAGAGCTGGGGGGGCTATAGGAACGCATGAAGGGCTGAGAGAGAGGGCTAATATGACACATGGAAGGCTGGGTGCTAATGGGACAATGGGGGGTTCATGGGACACGTTGGGATGCTGCTGAGACACATGGAAGGGCTAAAAAGACATACAGGGCTGGGGGGCTAATGGGATGCATGGAGTGCTGAAAGTGGGTATAGGGACACATGGAGGGCTTGGAGGGAGGGCTAATAGGAGCTCACTCAGTGCGCACCAGCCCACGGATCGCATGGCGAAATTACACAGTAACCGGCAGGAGGAGATGCGCTCCCCTCCTGCCGGTCACAGACTGTAGCATGGCCGAGCAGGCAGACCGTGGGTAGAGGAGCTTCTGTTCTCCTACCAGGTCTGACAGGAAGTGCTCACAGAGAGCACATGGCTGCTTCCTGTCAGACCGGGTAGGGGAACAGAAATTCCTCTACCGCGGTCTGCCTGCTCGGCCACGCTACAGCAAGGTACAGGGAGGATGAATGGGGGAGACTATAATGGGACACATGGGGGCTTGGGGAGCTATAATGGACACCTGGATGGGGCTATAATTGGACACATGGGAGCTGGGGGGGCTATAGGGACACATAAGGGCTGTGGAGGGGGCTATATTGGGAAACATAGGGGCTGTGGAGGGGGCTGTAATGGGACACACGGGGGCTGGGGGGCCTATAGGGACACATGGGGCTATAATGGGACAAATGGGGGTTGGGGGGGGCTTTAGCGACACATAGGGGTTATAATGGGACACATGGGGGCTGGGTAGGGGGCTATAATGGGACACATAAGGGCTGGGGAGGGGACTATAATAGTACACATTGGGGCTGGGCTGCTATAGGGACCCATGGTGGCTGGGGAGGGGCTATAATGGGACATATGAGGGCTGGGGAAGGGCTAGAGGGACACATGGTGGCTGGGGAGGGGCTATAATGGGACACATGGGGCTATAATGGGACATATGAGGGCTGGGGAAGGGCTAGAGGGACACATGGGGGCTTGGGATGGGGCTATAATGGGACACATGGGGGCTATAGGGACACAAGGGGAATGGGGAGGGGGCTTTATGGACACATGAAGGGCTGGGAGGGGGTACAGGGACACATGGAGGGCTGGGGGGCTATAGGAATGCATGAAGGGCTGGGAGGAGGTATAGGGGCACATAAAGGGCTGGGAGGGGTGGCTAGTGGGACACATTGAGGGCTGGGAGAGAGGGCTAATATGACACATGGGGGGCTGGGTGCTAATGGTACACATGGGGGGTTCATGGGACACGTTGGGATGCTGCTGAGACACATGGGAGGACTAATAAGACATACAGGGCTGGGGGGGGGGCTAATGGGATGCATGGAGGGCTGAAAGTGGGTATAGGGACACATGGAGGGCTAGGAGGGAGGGCTAATAGGACAGATGGGGGCTAATGGGCACATGGGGGGCTACTGAGGCACATAGGAGGGCTAATGAGACACATACAAAGCTGGGAGGGAGATAATGGGAAACATGGGGGGGGGGTAAATGAGATGCATGGAGGAGTTGGGGGGCTAATGAGACACCGAGGGGGCTAATTAGACACATGGAGAGGCTGGGGGGTAATGAGACACATGGAGGGGCAGGGTAGTAAAAAGACACATGGAGAGTCTGCTGTGGAGAAAAAAGGCACAGAGTGGTCTGGGGAAAAAAAGACTGAGAAAGACAAACAAAAGACACAGATAGACTGGGGAAAGGGAGAATGAGACACACATAAGAGTTGTGGGGAAAGATACACACAGAGGTGCTGTGGCCTGGGAAAGAGACTAACAGAAGGGGTAGGGAATGGGAGAAATAGAAAAAGGGGCTGGGGCTAAGAGACACATGAAAGGGGCTTGGGGAAGAAAGACACAAACAAAGTGCATCTTCACTTGAGTTTCCTGCTCTCCCTGTAATTTAGAGTTGACCGGTGAGAGAAAGACTTCGTATTAAAGGGACACTATAGTCACTAGAACTACTACAGTTTAATGTAGCGGTTCTGGTGTCTATAGCCTGTCCCTGTAGGCTGAGCACTGTAAATGCTACCTTTGCAGAGAAAATTGCTGCTTAGGAACATCTCTAGTGACAGTCACTCACAGTGTGCAGCACCTATGCTGAGCATCTCCACTCTCTGCATGAAGGTGCTGAATGCTCCCCATAGAGATGCATTGATTCAATGCATCTCTATGAGGAGATACTGATTGGTGCGGTGAAGCACAGTGTTTTGCCACACATGCGCAATTGCCTCCCAATGCTTTCCTATGGGAATTGAATTGGCGTTGACTGAGATCATCCAGTTGTCAGACAAAGTGAAGAGCACACTCTTGTTACTTCAAAATGAGCAAGATTACGTCATTTTTTTACTGCTGTGCAATAGCATACATTCACAATTACCAAACTTTCCTTAATATGTCAAGGTAGTTGTACTGAAACATTGATTATATGCAAATGCACATCTGCTTACAACAAATCTGCTCTTTTGTTTATTTTGAAGCCCTTTGAGTGCTTTCTTTCACGTTTGAGCGATACTTTTCAGTTGTTTTTTTCCCGCTTTCATATCTGCACACTATGCTGGTGCGATGCATTATGGGGCTGGTATAGAATTTTTTTCCAGGGCTGCTTTTTTTATTCCCAGTCAGGCCCTGGTTATATAAATGTTAAAGTCCTCCTGTATAAAGGACGAACAGTCAGGTCTCTCCATGTAAGAATTTCTGAGCATTTCAAGATTGTAAAAAAAGACCTAGAAACATAGTGTTTTACCATATTTTAAAATAGCCCACAACCAAAATCCAGATGGCCTACTTTGTGTGTTTTGAAACAGATAAAGAAAGAATGGAGAGGAGGATATTTTATTAGAAAAATTGGAATGGAGGAGATGAAATTTATTTTTAACCTCAAGGGTTAAATAATTATTTTGAAATATGCAATTTTTTTAAATGGATAAAAACATTTTTACTTAATATTTATAATACATATATAGAAGCAATCATTGTATTACCAATTAATGCATTTTTATTTGGGTGTAAATAAGAAAACCCATATTTATTGAAAATAAATCTTAACACTATTAAACAGGTTTTATTAGAAATCAATGTTTGTGAATCTTATATTTTGGGATCGATATTTGATTTTAGAAATGCACCAGCAATTAATAAAAATACTATTTCAAAATGTACTCTTAACTCCCAATACCTACTACCAGAATTCCTCTAGTACTTAAGGAATACAATCTTTAAACCTAATAATACATTGACATTATACAATAGTGCCACCATATACAGATTCAAAATACAACCCATAGCCCACAATCTAAGTAAACATTCTATCCCATAAAAACCACCATTCCTGTGCGATACGTGTGCCAACTATCATACAGTTAATACATCTAGTGCAAATAAAAACCCAAATCCTTAACAATATACATTTATCATGTAGCAAAGTGCTTAAAGCGGCACTGTCATGCCGAATTTACCTTTCCTCAATCACTTCCTCTTATATTCTTCTCTCGGAATCTGTTTTTCTTTTTTTCCTATCTGATCTAGTTTTCTTTAAAACATAATATAAAGTAGGGACTACTTTGTTATATGTATTTTTCCTACGCTTGACCATCTTTGGGGGAGCTGTGAAAGGGCATGGGTGGCAGAGGCCGGTGACAGGACAAGTGGTGGTGGGGTGGCTGAGGAAGAGGGTGGCTGGAGCAGGGAGTAGTGGGGGGGGGATAAGGCAGGAAGTGGCAGGGGGGCTGTGACAGGATTGAAGGGGATTGAAGGGGGGCTGTGGCAGAGGTTGACTTGGCCAGGGAGTAGTGGGGGGCTGTGACAGGGAAGGGTGTGGTAGGGGGGCTGGGGCAGGGAGTACTGGGGGGCTGCGGCAGAGGGTTGTAGGGTTGCTGGGGCAGGGAGTGGTAGGGGGCTTGGGCAGTGGGAAGTAGGGGGCTGTGACAGGGTAC